ACATCATCTNCTGTCCTAATTATAATACCACTATATTCAATCGCTTTTCTTCATAATATTGAAATATGTCTTGAACATCTTTCTTTGGTAAATATTCTAAAGCTTTGAGGAATTGATAATACGATTGCTCTGGTGTTGTTGTGTAGATATCGAAATCTAAAAGGTTTGGTGTTGTTAAAATGTTAAAAGTGAGATGAGTTTTCCTAGAACCGGAACTACCGCATATACACATAAGCATTGGGTTACTAGGAAATATTTCTGAATGTTTGAATTTCTTTCCCATTTTTTATTATTTTATTTTGTTCCAAAAATCACTCCATCTCCTTTATACTTTGAAAGATATATTCCTTCTCCAGTTTAATCCTTGTTTAACAGTTTTCTTGGTTTCTTCCCCAAATCGTTTTCCAAATTCATTAACTGTTCCTAATATATCTGCCACTCCTGAACCTTTCTTTCCTTCTGCTGCCAACTTTTCCATTGCTAAATTGTGTCTACGTTCTTCAGCAGCTTTTACTTCAGCTACTTTCTTTTCGTCGGCAGCTTTTATTGCAGCAATTTTCTTTTCTCTGGCAGAACTTACTGCGGCAGATATCCCACCAGTTGCTATACCAGCAAATATTAAAGGTAGTAGGAAAGGTAAAAATCCACCTTCCTTTGTGTTAGCATCAATTCTTTCTAAGTCTATATCATCTCTGACTTTACAATATTTGTATTTATCAATAAGTTTTTTAGTTATGTTGATTGTTTTTACCATTGAAAGTTATTACAGTTGGGGAAGCTGTTTCAATAGCTTCTATTATATTCATAACTAAAGTTTCTGGTTTCACTTTTAAGGGTGTATTTTTTACTCAATTCTTATCACTCTTCTATCTGCTATTTTAATTAAATGTTTTGCTTCTTCGAGTAGTAAACAATAACCAGTTACATCTCCTTGTGTTTTTTCAATATTAATATTTATGTTTACTCCTGTTTTGAAAAGATCTTCTTGATGAGCTGATAGATCATAACAGAAGATTGGATGATTAAGTGCAAAATCTACATATTCAAACTGAGGTAGATTTCCAAATAATTCACACATATTTTTATAGTTTCTATACAATTCATTATAATCCTTTGTGGTTGGATTAATTGTTAAAGGTTGGTTAGGATAATTATCGTTGTTTAATCTTACTTGAACTTTATGGATTAAAGGATCTTGAGTTTGGTTCATTGCTACTCTAAAGACATTATTGTTATTAATCTGAGAGTTTGGTAAGTTCTTGAAACCAACCATTAAATATCTTGCTGGTTTAATAGTGTTAGTGATTGGCCACGTGGTGGATTCTCCAGTTAAAGTCATGCTACCAACCGTATTACGATGAAGAACAGCTATTTCAATATCTTTAGTTAATGAGTTGAATATTCTCGTTTCTACTTCAGTTGATGATGTTTTTACGGGTATGAAAAGTTGGAGATTCGTTATTTCTAATTTTGCATTTGAAGCATTCTCTCCAAAGAATATCTTATCATCATTGATTTCTCTTTGTAGATGAATTTTATATGGTAACCCTATGGAAACCTTTCTGTGTTCCAACAGACCGAATAAAGGATACAATTTCCAATTTACGTAATTACCCCACCTATTATTCTCAACAACTTTATTATACTGAAATACTCGTTTTTCGAATCCATGATTAGCTGCTCGTGCTACTCTTTCTATTGTGTTTCGAGCAACAACTCTAACTCTAGCTAAATCAGCATCATTTGCAAGATTTCTTACCAGTTCTTTTAAAACACTTCCATCGCCAACATCGGGTATACAACCTGAGACTGAATCGAAATCTTTAGGATATAAAACTGTTTTCAACATTGTGTCGAATTTCCCAGGATGTTTAATTGTTTCTATCGGATTTGAACCAGCTTCCAAAACCATCTCGCTAAATAAAGATGGAAAGAAATTGTTTTCTAACGTTGTATTAGTTTGTGGAACACGATTTTCATTGGGAGTTCCATCTTTAATTTTGAAATCACATTTGAAATAAGTATCGGAAAGAAGCAACCAATTCAATAATGAATTTATTTCGAAGGTAATTATACCACCATCATTCAATTGGGATTTAGAACCAACAGTCGGTGAGATGATAATATAATCCTCTTTTTTCTTGTTAAATGAATAACGAATCGGATCGTATAATCTAAAGATTGGATCTAATATTTTATTTGCCATTTTTAAGGTTTAAAAATAGAGTAGAAAATTGTGGTCTGTTTTTTTTCCAAAAAAGAGTTATCTCCCTTCCTAGAAGTTTCTAGACTAAAAATAACATTACTTAAAATGAGGCTATTAAAAACCTGATGTTATGTTATTTTATATAAGGGTGTTTTTAATATGCTTTTTTTTTGATGGAATGTAGGAATTGAATGAAGGTATTTTTAGTATAAGAATTTATGAAATGTAGGGTGTTTAGGTGTAAGAATTTATGAAATGTAGGGTGTTTAGGTCTTTTTGGTGTAAGAATTTATGAAATGTAGGGTGTTTAGGTCTTTTTTGGGAGGGAATTGCTGGAATGTAGGTTGTTTAGGTCTCCGTGCGACCAAATTGAAAGGTCTAGTACTACTGATCTGCACTTTTCACATTTGCACCTGAATAATAATAAGAACATGGGAGCAAATTAATTCCTACACATTACTATTAGCACCTTTAAATAATGATATAGGCTAAACATAAATGTCACTTGCACATGAAAGGCTGAATAATGATCATTTACTGTCTTCATTAATTTTATGAGAATTGAAATAATTGAAATACTAGTTTCAATATATTAAATAACTTTAATAAAAATCGACAGATTTCAATATACCACTGAATTTGTGACCACGGTAGAGTAGAGCCAAATAATTCCAAGTCTACCTTCACTTTCCTTCCGTATTTACCTGGGATAATATCATGTGACTTATTTTATCATTTGGTGCTATTTGAAGAAATAAATTTACCAGATGGCTTTTGGTTAGAAATTGAAAAAATAATAAAATGTACAGATACTTTGGAATAATAATGAATTAGTAAATAAATAATATTTTATAGCCTACCAAATACTTTCACTTTCACCTTGTGTCTTCAGAAGAGCTAGAGCTAGAAGAATCGTCACTTTCCCTTTGCAGATTTTCTCGTACAGGATGGAACATATAGGGTTGAATTCGTATTGACAAATCTACCTCTGGAATTTCGCCCTCACTATCACTATTATCGATGAAATGAGCCATGCCTAGATCCAGTCAAGTAGAAGTAGGCCTCAGTAAATTTCGCACGGGTTCTCGAATGGCTCTCATGTCGTAACAAAAAGAGGATGTACTTCAGTCTAAACTGTCAACATTTTTAAGCAGGTGTAGCGTGACTATGTTACAACATTCGGAGCTTGCAATCGGACGGACTTGTTTATTTTTAACATTTGCCGGGGATGGGCTATCCACAGAGGGGTTTTATTTTCGTTGAATTTGACCTTTAAGAACAATCACACCAAGAGCTAACAATTTGATGTGTTCGGTAGCCATAATAGAATTCAGGTATGACTGAACGAAAGATGACAATGAAGAATTACTGACTGATAAATGGTATTCAGGTATGATTGAACGAAAAGGCTTACATGTTATTAAATTAATGGATTAAATCCCAATTAGGAAACCAAATCCCTGGATTAACAAGTAATTTTACATAGCAAATATTCCGTCCCCATTAAAAAGTGTGCAGTTCTCAGGGTTTCCAGATTATTGGCAACCGTATAAAGGAGGCCCCACTGTAGTTACTGCAACTAGTGCAGTCTAAGGTCAGTGAGGTGTGTCTAATTCGGACTAAAAAAAAATTGAGATTTCGATAACAAACTGGGATTTGCTTCTGCACAATCAGACAGTGCAAAAGCTCTATGGATTCATAGACTTGACTTGTAAGGCCCTATGGTTTGAATGAACTCAACCGAGGAGGTTTTCAAAATATTGTCATTACCGGTATTCAACTGCCTTCCACCCATGAAGGTGCAGGATCTGAGTTTAGCACTTAAAATAGAAAATAGCTCGAGAATAGTGCCAAAATAGCCTCTATTTTAGAAATCAGAATAGAAAATCATTCAAACTTAGCTATTTCTAGCTAAAATTGCACTATAATAGAAAATATTTTAAATTATTCTAAGTACCCAGTCTGCTATTTTCGGCTCTATTTTAAGCTATTCCTAGCTAAAATTACGCTATTTTTGCAATTATTATTAAGTGTCGATTATATTTGAGAATAGCTAGCTATTAGACGCTATTTTAGAAAAATTGGAAAAAGTCCACACTTTTCTATTTTAGGCTATATTTTCAGTTATTCCTAGCTAAAATTACGCTACTATAGAAAATATTTGAAATTATTTTTAGTACCCAGTCTGCTATTTTCGGCTCTATTTTCAGCTATTTCTAGCTAAAATTGCGCTATTACAGAAAATATTTAAAATTATTCTAAGTACCCAGCCTGCTATTTTCAGCTCTATTTTAATCTATTTCCAGCTAAAATGACGCTATTATTGCAATTATTATGAAGTGTCGATTATATTTGAGAATAGCTAGCTATTAGACGCTATTTTAGAAAAAAAAGTCCACACTTCTCTATTTTCGGCTCTATTTTCAGCTATTTCTAGCTAAAATTGCACTATTTTAGAAAAAGTTTAGAATTATTTTAAGTACCCAGTCTGCTATTTTCGGCTCTATTATCAGATATTTCTAGCTAAAATTGTGCTATTTTAGAAAAAGTTTAAAATAAAACCTTTTCTATAATAGCGCAATTTAAGCGAGTGCGTCGCAAGAGCTGGAGCATGAAGGGCGTGGAGTTTTAAACAAATTTAATAGCTGAAAAGAGAATGACATTTCTTGTTAGGAATATGTTAAGGGTTTGCATCAATTTTAAATACATAAATTCCCATTGTGGTATTTCTTAGGGTTACAGTTTTTAAAGTAGGTGGCTATTTAAATGTATATTATGTGAGCACCGTAAGTGCGATAAGCGAGCGTCGCGAAGCGATGCAAGAGCGTAACAGCTGGAGAGACGCCATAGGGCGTGGGGTTTGCAACAATTTTAAATAAATTTAATAGCTGAAAAGAGTGTGACATTTCTTGTTAGGAATATGTTAAGGGTTTGCATCAATTTTAAATACATAAGTTCCCTTTGTGGTATTTCTTATGGTTAGGTTGCAACAGTTATAGATTCATAAGTTCCATTTGTAGCATTTTTTAGGGTTAGTTTGAGGGTTTGCAACAGTTTTTAATACATAAGTTCCATTTGTGACATCTCTTAGGGTTAGGTTGAGGGTTTGCAACCGTTTTAAAAGTAGGTGAATATTTAAATGTATATTATGTGAGCACCATAGGTGCGAAAAGCGAGCGTCGTGAAGCGATGCGCGAGCGTAACAGTTAGAGAGACGCTGTAGGAGCTGGAAACTTGAAGGTGTGAGGTTTACAACAGTTTTAAATACGTTAGTCCCATTTGTGATGTTTCTTAGGGTTAGGTTGAGCGTTTGCAACAGTTTTAAATACATAAGTTCCATTTGTGACATTTCCTAGGGTTAGGTTGAGGGTTTGCAACAGTTTTAAAAGTTGGTGGTTATTTAAATGTATATTATGTGAGCACCGGAGGTGCGATAAGCGAGCGTCGCGAAGCGATGCAAGAGTGTAACAGCTGAAGACGCAGTAGGCGCCGGAAACATGAAGGGGGTGGGGTTTGCAACAGTTTTAAATACATAAGTTCCACTTGTGACAATTTCTTAGGTTTCGGGGAAGGGAGGGTTTGATTCTCCCAAATGTACAGGCCTAGGGTGGAGCAGACACTTTATTTAGAAATTAGGATTAAGGGTCTTGATATTGGGTTTTCTTCTGTTCTTATTCTGATCTGAAATTAGAAAAAATAACTCGCCCGATGGGCGAGAAGTATAGTATCTGTTATGTACTGATTGTTTTTAGTTTACTATGAACAATATTATCATTTAAGTTCTTATTTTTTGAATATGCAACTATCATTTTCTGCTTATAGACATGGGGGAATTTCTCTTGAAGGCTCTTATAGTGGGCATGAACTATCTTGCTTGCTCGATTGCTGGTTGTATTAAAGGGGACAACAAAGGGTGCTATGCCTACATTATGATGAATATTTAGTCCTATAGGTCTTGCTGTATTCAATGTCTCAATCCAATGGGCCTCCCTAGATTGACGGAATTTGGTAGTTTCATCTTCGGGCAAGTCAATTTCTATACGCTCAATTGGGATTAGGGTGAGATCGTCCATTGAATGGTCGTCGAGGTTGAAATGATTAGAAACAGGCTTGTCTTTCTTTAATTTGATGTCTGACCTATGAGCATTAAAGCGAGTTCGTAAATTATTCTTAGTTTCTCCTACATATTGTTTGGGGCATTTCTTGCATGAAATTAAATATATTACATTCGAATGTTCGCATGTTAGATGTTCCTGGATCGGGTACCTATTATTCGTAGAGTTGCTTACAAAATAATGAGTTTCTGATATAAAGGGACATGTTTTGCATCTACTGGACAAACATGGAGCACTTCTTAAACCTGGAGGTACTTCGGCATAAAGTCTGTTTTTAGCTGCTATCTGTGCTAAGGTGGAATTTTTTATGTTTCGTAAAAATCGTTTAGAGTATCCACGCTCTTTCAGTTTTGAGAAAACAATCGTACAGGCTTGGTTGAAATCAGAAGATCTTGTACAAATTCGATGAAATCGTAAAACTTGTGACTTAATTATACCAGAAAAGGTATGTTTTGGGTGAAAGGAGCTCTTGTGCAGGAGTTGATGAGTATCAGTTTCTTTGAAATACACTTTAATATCCAGTTTATTTGTTTCTGCTATGGAATCTCCCTTAAAGACTGTGGTATCGAGAAAGTCTATGCTTTTGTCACTCACGTTTGCGGTTAGTTTGATAGAAGGATGGTGGTTGTTGAGAATTTCAATAGTACTGTTAGTCTAACAATGTCTTTACATTGATAAAAATATCAAAATTTGTAAGTTTACATTGAAAAGAAGCACTTTTTTCTCTTAGAAATTTCAACCAAAAAAGTCTTAAATTTTGGCTGAAAGTTGTTTGCTCAGACAATAGGTTTTCTGGCTAGATTGTATTGGTGTTATTTGAAATCCGCAAACATTCAAAACACATATGTTATAGTGGTATTATGACGTATATTGATAAGCTAGAAT